CCACACAGCATAGGAGGAACTTTCAAAGGCAAATATCAATGCTTAATCTTCTGATTTTTGGCACGAATCTTATAATTCAGGCTTGTTTCCTACCTGACAATTCCCAACAGCATATCTTGCTTATTTACAAAAAGACAGGAATTAACAACAGCTCATGACATTTTTATTTTAATGAAATTTAAAAAGGCAGTTATTAGTTATACATACACACAACTGATTCTGTACTTGTTAGTCATAAATATAGAACATTCAGAAGTACAAAATACACTTTATCCACAGCACAATTTCACATCAATCTGAAGAGTTTAAACAGATAAGTAACCAAGTGCCTAACAATGACAGAAGCCCATTTTTGGAGTTGTTTAATTTTTCCTTTTTTATTTTTTTAAGACTATTACTCTACACAAAGTAATCAGTGCTCACAGCCATCAGCTTCACAAAATGCACTCTGGTTTGGAGTAGGAAAAGACTGACCTTTTAAAGACAATTAGATGCCATCACCTTTTCTTTGCTCCATCAACAAAAACAAGCCCACAACCTTCTTCACTCACAGCCAACAACTGTGAAAAATGGGACTCTGGCAAAAATCACCTGAAGCCAAACTTGAGCACTGCCAGGAAAAGTGAAAAATATCTGAACTAGAAATTAGTCCACTCGATACCTTGCAAACAAAGAGCAACAGCAGTATGACACCAATAAGGCATTAATGACAAAATGGCTGTATTATTCTCGAAAAAAGAGTACACCTATGTATAAAAATATATGTCATAGCAATTGGGTAAATCCAACACTATTTAACACTGTGCCGAAAGTAATTAAGAGTTAAAAAGGCAGCACTGCAAGAAGTATTTACAGTTTCATACTGTAGTTCAAAAGAAAAAAAAAACAACAAAGAGCCAACAAAGATACAAATGGAACTATCTAGTTAAAGCATCACTGTAGATACTGCCAGTAGCACTTTTAACACGGGATGTGATGGAGTCCCTCTTGTTAAACTTGTCTGAATAAAGGATGTAAATACTTTAGTGTCTAAAATCTCAGTCTACATGACCACTCATTGAAATAACTCACCCAGACCATCACTAGTTGGCATTTCTTGCTCCATCAGTTTAAAACCCAAAAGATTCAGTTTCAAGAAACACGGTGTTTGCAGCACAGTTTGAGCAGAAATCACAGCTTTACTTCCAGCTTAAAAACCACAACAGAAATAAAAACCCACCACCTGTGAAATAGTGGAAACTGGCAGCCAAAGTGCCAGCAAAGCTACACCAAGGGCACCTAATAAAAACGTTAGCATTCCAAATGCACTTGATAACTTCAGCTATAGAATAAGTAAGTTGCCTTTAGTAACGAAACACGTGACAAAAAGATACAGCACAGCCAACACAGCTTTGTTTGGCCACAAGACCCGGGAAGAGGCTGTTTCAGAGGAGAAGCCACTGACAGGACGGCAGCAGAGGGCCAGGGCAGAGCAGGGTGCCCAGCAGCAGCAGCAGCAGCAAACGCTGAACGTGCTCATTGGCTTGGTCAGAAGCACAAAGTTGCCAAACTTCAGGCTCATGAAGTGCTCCCTCCTCGCTGGCTTGGGAACAGACACCCAGCACCTCCCGCTTGGGTGTGGGGAAGTGCCCCAGAGATGGGATGGCTGGGAATGGGAAGGGAGGTAAGGAAGGGTGGAAATGCCAAGAAAGCAAAGGCTCGGGGTGGCAGAACAGGAACGGCAGATGAGAATGGCTCACAGGGAAACCCCAAACCTGGCACTATCCAGACTGCCCCGGAAGTCAGAGTAGCCATCTCCTTTCCCAACCAGAAAGGCAGGAGTGGTCTACAAAGGGAGCAGCAGTCCATGCTCTGATGCCTCAGGCATATTGGCTTAAAAAACATAATACCCTATTTAAAAACGCAACAACAAAAAAAGAGAGATGTGCTTGAAATTCTGCTAACAGTGCTCTTCTAACTGCACAGCCAAATTCTGTACACAAGAAGCCTCCTACAGTAGTATAAAAACCATGACACGCTGAGAAGTTGCCATCACCGAGATTAGGAGAAATAAAATTACTTTGAGGGATTTACTTTTCGACTGAATTCAGGAACAGAGGTAAATTATAAATTTACTTTGAGCAGTCTGTTGGGTAAAATAAAACAGGAACAGTATTTTTTTTCTCTTTACAGATAAACTTTTTTTTTAAAAAATGTTAGAAGAACTGATGTTTATCATGTCAAGCAGAGCTGCAAACTAAACTGCTCATCTACTGCTCTCTCTGGTGTGGTCGGCCCCTTTGAAAGCACATCCCACCGTGCAGACACCAACCACCTCCCTCCAGCCAGCGCAGAATCCAGGCACCTTTCACAGACATCAATGAATTTCACTCTGGGACAGCAGAGCTTTGCTTGTCAAATTCAATGAGCAGCCACTCAGCTGAGCAGCACGCGTAGAAAGGGAGAAGGCTCCAAGAGAATAAACACCCATGTATTTAAAAGAACAGTGCGTAAGCACATGGCTTGCTCACCTAAAAAGGTATTTTCCCAATACCTGGGAAGAGATAGAAGAGAAGAGATATGAGGTTGTTTTTTTTGTTCTTAGTGTGATTTTGCTGAGGCAAGTACAGACCAGGCTACCTGAGGCCTTGCCTGCACTGCATCTAGAGATATAAAAAAAAAAATCCTAAAAAGAGAGTCCCTGGCCCCACATGCACGTAGGGTAAGAGATTGGTCCCAGATTTAGTGAGAGAAACAGTAGGAAGGACTCTTCCTGGACATTGAAAACTACATGCTGTTCTCAAAAAAGGCCAGGAAAGCAATGTCAGATGGAAACATCACCACGTGGGTAAGTTTTAAAGCTGGGTTCCTGGGCTGTGTTGGCTGCAGACCAGCTGCATGAGACCTGTGTGGCCAGAGCAGGCTGCAGGACAGGGGCCTGCCTGCTAGTCTAGACATGATCCTGACAAGATGGACTGCAGTGACGTGCACGGTGCCTCCCATCAGAGGCACACCAGCATTCCAGAAGAGCTACAAGAGGGGAGACCTTAGGTCTAAGAACTGTTGCAGACACTGAGATCTTCTAGATGGGGGCTACGCCCTGATGTTGCTGTTTCAAGCTCTGTGATGGCCCCTGAACACACAAAGGCTGAGGGAAGCTGCCCCCTTCCTCCTCTGCAAAGGCTGGCCACCACCATCCAGCCTCAAAGGTTATGAGCAACCTGCACAAAGAACTCTGGGCTCCTTGTCCCTTGAGAGTGACTCCTTCCCCTCCCATCCCTGAAGAAATCATCCAGATAAAAACACTGACCTGCCAACCTAACCTCTGTAACTCTTCATGCATATGAAATCTTCAACCAAAAACTTCCTACTGCTTTTCTGATGAAGACATATGGTAGGTGATTTGCCCAGGAGGAAGGTGATTAACTTACCTCTCTGGAAAAGCATATAGCATTCAGATTAGGCAAGAGTCCTCAACATACTTGGTAAGCTGAAAGTCCCATATTTAACAGAATAGGGTTAATGGGGTTTAACAGAAGTGATTGCTTGGGAATCCAAGCAAAAATTCAAGTTATCACTGTGTACGCAGTGGACAACAGTCCAATTGATATCTAATACCAACTCACTCTAAAAAAATTATGCACTACAAAACCATCTCACTGCTTGCAGCAAATGAGCTTGAACGATTTCCTAGTACTAGGCCACCACCTTGCACTGTTAAAATGTGAGGTTTCACAGTATAAAAAAGTACTTCACAGAAAGAAAATGTAGCTTATATAGAAAATGCAACCTTGATGTGTTTACAGTCATTTCTTTACGAGGCAATATTTTTGGGAAAGCAAGAACGATAGAAATTAAAGCAGCCAGTGAGAAATGTATAGAGTTATAGGCCTCAATTCAGTGCAAAAACATACTAGTAGCTTATGTGAGTAAATGTTTGTTCTGGATAGAGAACCACCTGAATTACAAGTAAGAACACCTATGTGAAGTGATGAAGACTCCCATGGTATCTAAATCCTTCACATATATTGTCAGCCTTTCCAGTACACTCCAGAATGGACCCTTTATAAAAGCAAAAGAAACCAGTACCTCAGGAAATCACTTCATACAGCACAAGATATACATAAAGTACCAAAATGTACACACATTCAAGTTTAAGTTAGAAAAGGCGGAGCTGAATCTTCTGGTGAGAGAGGCCTACATTATATGTTGCTTATTCTCACATTTAAAGTGACCTAAAAACTACAAGAATCAAAGAAAACAGAATATTGTGTCTGTTTCCAGAAACTTAAGCTTAAAGCAAGGCATCGAAATTGAGTGGTAGACACTGTAACAAGACACTGTCTTACCTTTTCTCTGTTAGTCTTTGTTACTTTGTTATCTACTGAAAAATTACCATTCAAAGGAAATGTCAGGTATCATTCACATTCAAATATGTAAGACTCAGAGATTATAATTTTTTTTTGTTTTAAATCAGGAAAAGTTTTTCATCTCTGAGGTAGATGACAATAAAATGAAAAACAGAAGAAAAGAAATGGAGCTGTCAATGGACACTCACAAGTGCTGGGGCTCCTCTGTTGGCACTGAAGCAGCCCAAGGAGGAGAGAGCAAGCCCTACACCACTACCTGGAACATGAGAAATGTGTCTTCTGGTTTAGTAGCTTCTACAGAAATGCAACACAGAAAAAGCAGAGCCAAAATTACACTGAAATGGCCTTGGAGAACAACTTCC